CATAATTAAAAAACCAAATAATAAACGCCATCAAAATGAAATAGCGCATACATTTAAAAAAAGCGATTAATGAATCGACAAAGCAAACGAAAAAGTGGTGCATCTGCACCGGCTGAAGGTGAGCAACAGCTTCCTGACCGACGCGAGCCAGGGCCGGCGCGGCCGCGTGGTGAACGATCTGTACCGCTACAAGCCGCTCAGCCCCGGCGCCGTGGTGCGCAACGCGCTGGCGCACGTGGGCGCCAAGGAGCGCGAGCTGAGCTGGCGCAACTCGGAGAGCTTCGCCGCCTGGTGCCGCTACGGCAAGCGCGAGTTCAAGATCGGCGGCGAGCTGCGCATCGGCAAGCAGCCCTACCGGCTGCAGATCCAGCTCTCTGCCCAGCGCAGCCACACGCTCGAGTTCCAGAGCCTGGAGGACCTGATCATGGAGAAGCGGCGCAACGACCAGATCGGGCGGGCGGCTGTGCTGCAGGAGCTCGCCATGCACCTGCACCCGACCGAGCCAGAAGAGGGCGACAGCGACGCTGCACGGACTAAGCCGCCTCTCGAGCGCCCCCCTGAGCCCTGCTGGGAGGAGGAGGACCGAGAGGCGGTGGTGCACTGATGGGCCAGCTGAAGGCAGATTTGTGAGAGGAAGCTGTTGCCAGCAGCTGCTGCCCCCTCTCTCCATTCCTCTACCATCACCTTCTGGGCCGCATCTGGGCTCCTGGGCCATTTGGAAAATAGAGAGTTGGCGAAAGGCGCAGCCAGCTGTGGCTTGAGCTTGTTATCTTGACAGAGGAGGAAGAGGGTGCAGGTAGGAAGAAAACTTTGGTTGGGGGCACGGCCTGCCCACTCCTGCAATCTGTCTCCTTTCTGAGGTGGGGCAAATTGTGGGCATGCCTGGCACTAAGTCCCTTCTGGACCTGGGTCCCAAATCGACCCTTTTTATGCACACAGGGGTGGAGAAAAATTCGGAGTACCAAGGCCTGCCATTGCCTCCTACCCGCTTACCCCTACTCTGTGCTAAGGCCAGAGTGGGGTTGGGGCCTGAAGACAGCCCCATATCCTCTATCCCTGTGGAGCTGTGTGTGGGATCCAGCAGGCTGAGTGATTTATTTTCTGGGCCTCCTGGGAGGCAAGCCTGGAGAAACCAGGACCAGGTCTGGGAGCAACAGACCCAAACCGAGCAGCTGCCTGTGAAGTGGAACAAAATGTCCAGTGAACTTGGGCTACAAAACAAAGAGTTTGCTACCTCCCTCCTCCGGGTCCCCAAGTAATTCATCTTCTGGAGCTGGCTGAGTCTCCTACCCCCTCCTGCTCCACCAGCCACTTCCCAGGTTATAAGTAAATCATTGTCATGGGCCAGCTAGGGGAAGGATTCAATTATGGTTCTGTTTGGCCGCCTTTGTTTCTAGCCTGCTATTGTAGGCATTTACAGCTGTGTTATTTGTTATCAAAGGAGGGAATAGCCTTTTGTGTCTCTGATCTAATTAAACCTGCTCGGCTGTGTTCATCCGCAGGTCGCACATGGGATTGGCTGGTGCCACCCCATAAAGTATCCACTACAGAAGCAGCCAAACAGGTTTGTCCTGGTAGGAATTAGTCACTCCCACTGAACCCCATTCCTGAACAATGAAGGTAACCTTTTTAAAACGTAAGGCTTTCATGGTGGTCCTGTGAATTTTAATTTTCCCTTCTCATTTTTGTTCTTCTGCTGTTAAAATCTTAGGCCTGAGGCCTACTTCAGTGATAAGGTATTTATTTTGGTAGCGACACTTGATGCACACTTAATTCAAAAGATGTGCAGAGTCTTGTTATATGGAAGCAGTCTCCTTGGTGCTTGGAGGACACCCTTCAGAATGCTTTCTCCAGAGAGCTGAGGGCAATCACAAATGCCAGGTGGTGTAGTCAGTGCCAAATCTGGCGACACTCCTAAAGCACTGGTTCCTGCTTGTGGGATCTGTTGGCAGCAGGCTGGCTAATACCAGTTGAATCTCCTGCTGAGCTATAGTTTGCTTTATTATGAGGCTTTAAACATTTTTTACAACCTGTTCCTTGTATTCATGTGAGCTCTTTAATGATGTGTGCCCTGCACTTCAGAATGCAGCTCTGCCGCACAATGACATTACTAACACTGTCTCAAAAGTTGAGTAAAGTTTTTCTTCCTGTTGGGAGTCATTAGAGATTACAGTGAACATGTCATTTTGCGACCTAATTCTCACAGTTGGAGTAGAATCATATTTGAGTCTCTACAGTGTGATCATCCTTGGGCCTCCTGCCTGGAGATCTCTAAATCAAGGCAACAAGACTTGAAGGATATCCTTGTTTACTTTTTCAGACTTGGCATTCGAGGCCATAATTTTTAAGACATCATAGCACTTCCACATGACGTCATTTCATTACAAGGACATTAGCCATGTTCCCTGCTTTTGCAGGGATCTCCAGACAGGTCCTATCACATTGTTAAAGATGAGCCACACTCAACCCCAGTCTGCATCTTTGGAGACCCATATGCCTCCTGTTGGGAATGTCAGTCTAGTTTCCATGTTTAGTAAGTCTCACCACTTAGTGTTTATGTTGTCTTGCTCATGGAAAAGCGGAGCAAGAGAAACATGGGTACAGGCATTGAGGAGAGCTACTCCACCTAACAGATTTGGATTTTCTTTTATGTTAAGCACAGTAGTTATAGTTGGAAGGAATGACTAACGTGCAGGCAGCAGAAAGGAAGAACAGGCAACACTCTCTTTTCCACTCCCCCATCTCTGTCTCCCTCTTTTGCTCTCAAATGGAAAGTGAATGTCCTTGGTCCCGTTGAGGTATAGCAGCGACTGTCTATTGTTGCAAACAAACAGCTTTTTGTGAGAAGTCTCAACGTGATGAAGAACTGTAAGACCTACACCAATGATCACATTCTGCCTCTAGCAAACAGGTTTTTGAAAACAAGAGGAAATAGATCTACTCCACTTGCTGCTTTCCCATGTCAAGCAAGCATTTTGTACAGGGTACCAGAGATGTGAAATATGTAATACTTAGGAACTGTGATGCCATCGAAAGTGTTTATAGGCTTATACAGCTTCAAGTAGAGCAACAACCAACCAGCGAAGGTGCCAAGAAAGGAGAAAGGAACCAGCTCTCGGCTCTTCTTCAACATGGCAGTGTTGTGGGTGAGTTTTTAATCCTAGGCAGTGGCTACATCTGGCACTTAAAACAAAACAAAACATTATATATATATATATATATATATATTCAATAATTTTTGTTTCTCCTTAGGATTAAGACTTTAGAACTATTTTGTATTCCGAATTACAGATGCTGTTTGAAGGAAAGAAATACTGCTCGCAAGGTTTTTCAGACGGCTCTGGCAGGGATGAGCAGGCCATCCGAGGGGAAAAGTATGCTAACCCTCTCTCTGTCTAGAAATTCTATTTTCTTACCTGAGCAGCTATTTTATAAGACTGCTTATATAGTCCGAGGAGCCCACAACTTCAGCCACACAACTTTTTGTACTGCAAGAAACTCAACTTTTTGTAGCTTTTATTTCACATTTAATTTAAAGTAACTATAGCACTAAAATGCCTAGCGGAAGATTTTCCTCCAGACCCCTAAGGAGATTTTATGAAAAAAGATCCTTCAGTGGTTAAACTTCTCATGTCGTTGGTGCTTCTGACCCTAATAGCACCACTAGACAACACAACAACCACATGGAAACATATTTTTGGAAGCAAAACTTTAATTTTATACGTCATGCTATGGAGAGTGAAGAAAATTTAAGGATTACTTGTTTTCTATTTTTTTCTTAACAAAATGGAATCCACTGTGTTGAAGACTCTTGATATTATGTGATTGTCTAACCATTTTTTTTATACCAATAAATTGAAATAAAATCCAGTATGATCATGGTCATTGAATGGATTAGTCCGAAAAGTTATATTTTATTTATGATTTTTAAAAATCAGGGTAACTAAACTTCTCATTGTGTTGTTTTGTTCTTCAATATACTTGTAATCCATGGAGAATTCCATTGATGAACACGATAATTTCCACATGTGTTTTATTTCTCAGTGAACTGTGTAAACTTTAATTTTGTTGAAGGTTGTATGTTAACTCTATGTTATGTTCTCATACCACTTCTTGAGAAGGAAGTTCTAATTTGAAATTGTATCATTTCCTTCAAAATGAAGGGCAATGCTTAGTTAAATAAAAGATTGATAACATCTTTTAAACCATTTCCTCTTTACTATGTCTTATTAAAATAAAATCTGTCAGGTTCTTTTGAAAGATGCTTCGAGGGTTTCCAATAAACCATCTATTAGAGTTAACTGAATTTATATATATGTTTCCCACTTGTATACCTTTTTCCCTCACATTTTTGGTCCATATCCAGGTTCCTCAGCTTAACTGCAGTTTTTCTGAGAATATTAGTGTGTATCGTCTTTTCAAGTGCTCAGCAGACAATTGGATGAATTAATTTAGTGACTGCAAACCCTCATTGCATTTACAGTGAGAATTAATGACCCATTGTTTCTAGGCTATTGGTGTTCATGAAAAATGTCTCATGAACATAAATTTCCAATACACATTGATTTTCAGAATTAATGCAAACATTACTGGAAACCACACATATTTTGGAATCTATACTGGGGAGTTGAGGGATTAAAGTCAGTAACCCATGTTGCAACATAGGTAATTTCAGAGTCCCAGACAAAGAGAATGGGCTCAGCGAGTAATTTCATTACAGAAGATGGGCAAGTGTGATCATGCGGCGCTGTTGGCATGATAAGGAAGGGGTGCACATTTGCCAGGAGTTGGTAAAGGAGCAGATGTGGCATCTGGGACTGGTGTGGGGGAGGCCACCAGGACTCTACACCAGCACCTGGAAATGCTCCCACAATCCTATGAGGTCCTAAAGTCTTGAGTTTTATCAAAAGACTCCTGTGAGACTTTTGAATAGGAAGAAAGTTGGTTGCTGAAGGCTGTAAAAAGCTCAGGTAGCAGTGAGACCCTTTTTCCCTGGAGTGGGAGTCCTTGGTTTGAAATGGTACTCATGGCACAAGGAAGTAGGGGGAGGGAAGCCTACTGGAATGTGTATTTATTCTTGGGTGATTTGGGTGCAATTTTGGTAGAAGCTGCTGTTCCCATTTCTGCTAAGTGGACTGAGCTTGGTTAATGTAGGAAATGACATGTTTGAAAGCATTTAAAAAGCTCAAAATGAACAGTCTCAAAATAAGTGCAGAAGGGCTTTTATTTCCTTTTACTGAATTTAGCAAAACTGCTGATTGAACAAATACAGCAATTTTATCTGCAGAGTAGATGCAAGAATGATTAGTGTCCATTTGCAAACACAACAGGGTACTAAGTATTTATGAAGGGTTAAAGGATGTTGAGCCGTAGCCTGGGCATTAGGACATACAGAAGTTAAACAAATGGAAACCTCTAGAGATCGTCCATACTGCTGAGCTTGTTTCAAAGGGGAAATCAATTTCACTCCTACATAGAGGACAGAGTATGATAAAAGGTGGCTCTGTAAATGCTTATAGTTGGTAGGATTCAAATGAAGTAGATGTGTATAGGTTTAGTTGGAGTACTGTTGGAGAACTTAGATAAAGAATCCTTGAAGGTGCAAATGGCAGAGGAGAATGGGGCATAACTAACATTGATGAAGCACTTAACTGGGAGGCTCCCAAATTCCTATTGTCTAACACAAAGATAACCTGACCCGTGGTTTCTTTTCTTCTATTATTTTAATCTTTATTGAAATTATTATATATGGCTTCCTTTCCCCCTCATTAATCCAATGCAGTCCACCCCCACCCTCCTGCCCCAGGCTTTCACCACCTAATTGTCCATAATTGTCCATATCCATGGGTTATACATATATATACATACAGGATCTTTGGTTGATTACCTCCCACCCCCCCCCGCCCCCCCCCTCCCCCCGCCAAGCTCCCGCACCTTCCCTCTGAGATTCTGCACTCTGTTCTATGCTTCCATGTCTCTGGCTCCTATCTGTTCATCAGTTATTTATTTTTATTTTTTAAAAAAATATATTTTATTGATTTTTTACAGAGAGGAAGGGAGAGAGATAGAGAGTTAGAAACATCGATGAGAGAGAAACATCGATC